CTGATAGGGATTAACTGAGTGGTAACTGAAATGGTAGGGCTTGGCTGGAGGATATGGGAATTGGGACATGGCTTTGGGGTATATATTTGTATCTGGCAAGTGGAGACTTCTCTCTCTGTTTCCTTATCACCATATGAGCTGCTTCCCTTTGCCATACTATTCCACCATGATATTCTCTCTCACCTTGACCCTGGAAGAATGAAGCTAGCCTTCTTTGGACCTGTGAAACCGTGAGCCCTCAAATAAATTGTGCCTCCTCTACAATTGTTTTGACGGGGTCTTTAAGTCACAGCAGTGAAAAATCTGACTAAAATAGACCACAAAAAAATAACACACATCTATCAATTGTCTACAAAACAAAAACCAAATAACTGTCTCAAAAGATACAGAAAAAGCATTTCACAAAATTCAACAACTCTTCATAAAAAAAATCACTAAACTAATTAGGAATAGAGGGCAACCTTCTTAATATGATAAAGCATATGTTCCAGAATGAAAAGTATGTATGCTTTATCATATAGGGTAAATCCCACAGCTAATATTATATCAATGTCAAAGACTGAAAGCTTTTCTGCTAAGGTCAGGAACAAGACAAGCATGTATGCTCTTGCAAGGCCCCATCAACAACAGAAGAACTTTATTCGCAATGCCTACTAGGTCTCAAAATTTTGTGATATCATCAAAACCAAGGAATACCTAAGAATATGCATAGCCAAGAGGACTTTGAAGAAATAAAATGACTAAATACAAAGTGGTTTCATAAATGGGATGATGGAAGAGAAGAAGACTAGCTGTAAACTATGGAAATCAGAGTAAAGTATGGACTTTGGAACACAGCAGTGCATCAACATTGGGCCATTAATTATTCTAAAAGTTTCATAATAATGTAAGATATTGGTGACATGGGAAAATGAGTGTGTGACATATCAGAACACTCTTTACTAACTTCATACATTTTTATAAAGCTAAAATGTTTCTAAAATGTGCTTAAAATATTTAAAGATAATAGCTTTGAGGTAAATCTCTTCTCATAAAGAAGGTATATAAATGGGGAAAAACTCCAGTTTTCCAACTACAAATATAATATTTAATCCAAGCAAGGAGTGTTAATCAATCGTATCATAATTGATGAAACATTTTGAGCAAGAAGGAATCCACACAGTATTAACATGTCACCCTACAGAATAATATAACACTCATGTGTATTTTTAGCTAAGCAAAAATGAATTAAGCAATTTATATTGGTCTATCTCAAAATGTGTGTATAATACACATAATACATATATGCATGCATGTATTGTATACCTATTTTCATAAATGTGTACATATAAATATATATGGCATATACTTATACATATTTATACTCATAATATTGTTTATAATAGAAATAAGTTGTGTTTATAATGGAAATATCTGTGGAACACTACCAATCCAGTTAGGAAAATGTAGCATACCTATCATTCCTGAAAATATTTAACTTGAATCTAATCAAGAGGAAACATTAGAAAATACAGAGTTTAGATATTTTACAAGGCATCTATTGTACAAGGAAAGTCACATATACATATATAGTACATTTATACATATGATTTACATATGGATTTGAATTATTTGTATAAATATATACTTTAGTTTAAAA